CCAAAGCCCCAGTACAGAATTGTGCATTCTAGGTGTAAGTCCTTCTAGTTCTTCTATGTGAGCCACCGCCACCGTTGGCTACTGACAGGCAAATGGTGTGCTTCCACACCCAAGAACCGAACCTGGGCCACTGAAGAAGAGTGCGCCAAACTTAACCACTAGACCATCAGGGCTGGCTCAATCAATGGATTAATTAATTCAACATATAGTTGAAAAACTCTACCCAATGATCTGCGTCGAGTTCTAGGCAGTGAACAAGAAAGACAAGGTCTCTGTTCTCATGGAGATTTCTTCCTAATGGGGGAGACAGAAAATAAACAAGAAACTAATAAATAAGCAAGATCATATCATTTTGGTAAATGCTCTGGTGGAAATAATGGAATGATGTGGAAGAAAGTAGCTAGACATGAGAGTGGGATGAGTGGGCTTCTTTGTTTAGAAAGAGTTCTCAGAGAAGGCTTCTCTGAAAAGACGACCTTTGAGCTGAGACCTGCAGTTGAGAAGGAGCCAGTACAAAAGCTCTAGCTTGGCCAATGGAGCTGAAACCAGTATGACAAGGGTCACTCATACCAGTGAGGTTGGATAAGTAGACAAGAGCCAGACCATAGAGGGCCTTGCAGGCAGTGGTAATGAGTTTGGATTAACTGATAGTGCAGAGGGAAGACATTGACTGGGAAACATGGGGATACTGGGCTCTGATGTATGTTATCCAGCATGGCGTCTTGGGCTAGGGAGGTGGCAGCAGAGGTGGAAAGAAGTAAATGGACTGGGGATATATTGGGCGGAAGGTGGGGCAGGGGGAGGCAATGACTATGTGCACCTTCCTACCTTGTTGTGTGTAGGGGTCTCTGGGTGAGGAGATTCCTGAAGGGGAAGGAGTTGCCTGGATGGGAATGAAGTGCCTGGAAGGGAAGGAGGGTAATCTCATGGAGGGTGCAGGAAGAGCACTGAACTTGGAATCAGGACATCTGAGTCCAGTCCGGGGCACTTTCCACATCTGAGACATGGAGACTGGACTGGGTCATCTCTAAGGGCCCTTCCAGCACTAGTATTCTTGGTCTACATCAATTGTTGGGGCATGCAAATGGGGAAGTGTTCGAGAAGCTGTTGTTGAGGTTGATTTCACAGAGCAACGGTCCAGGTCCCTATCTCCCTGGTTGCTGACCCCTGGATGATGTTAGGCCTTTCACCACCTCTTATCTGCCCCACAGGGATGTTGTCCAAGCCCAGTCAGCAGGCAGTTGATCAACCCTGAAGGTCTGGTCCCTGAAGTCCATCACTTCTCTGAGGGCAGACATTGGAACTAAAAGTGACTTCCCAGCCTGTTATGGTCTGATGGGAAGGGTAGTGGGACCTCTGCCCTGAATAGAATCTCTCCTTTTTTCTGCCCGTATTTCCTGATCTGCTGACCCCGGGATCTTTCCCAGGAGATCCTCCAGCCCATTCCTCCCCTGTGTCAATCCGCCCTGCCTTCTCCCACCAACCGCACCAAATATAAATTTCATCCTGGTAAGGAAATGGGCCCTGAAGGCTGTGTTAGTCTTCTCTGCTGCATGACAAATCGATACAAATTTAGGGACTTCAAACAACACACATTTATTAGCTCCCAGTTCTATAGGTCAGAAGTGAGTGCAGCTTTGCTGGGTTTTCTGTTCAGGGTCTCACAAGGCTAAGATTAAGATGTTGCTGGGCTGTGGTCTCATCCAGAGTTCAGGGTCTTCTTTCAAGTTCACATAGTTGTGGCAGAATTCTGTTCCTTGCACTTGTAGGACTGAGGTCCCTGTTTCCTTGCTGGCTGTCAGACGGTGGGCAGAGGGGGGCGGTCTCAGGTCCTAGAGGCTCCCCACATTCCTTCCACATGGCCCCCTCCATTCTCAGAGCCAGCAATGGAGAATCTCCCTCAGATTGAATCCCCCTCATGTATGCAATCTCTGACTTCAGGAAGAACTCAGTCTCTTTGAAGGGTTCCCCTTAATAGGTCAGACTCACCCTGGATAATCTCCCTTTCTTAAAGTCAACTGTGCCATATAACACAACACAACCACAGGAGTGAGAATACATCATATTCACAGTCCCAGGCACTGTGCAGCATGTGTACATGGGGATGGGGTAAGGGTCTTGGGGGGCATCTTATAATCCTGACTATCTCAAGGGCCAAGCAGGACTTTTTTGGTGAAGAAGGTTGGAGGTCATTCCTGGCAATTTGAGAAGAAATCATCCAGTAAACTTAATGGTCCTTTTGCCTTTTGGAAGGCCATAAAAGAATCTCATGGAAGGTTTGGACCCTCACCCTAGGAACATCACATTGTATATTGTCTATGATTGCAGAGTCCATGGCCCCTTGAACTCATTCATCCTTTCCAGGTTGATAAACCCTGGGACAGGGTGTGGGGAGTGATGTGGGTAGGGGTGAGGGCTGAATGGTGTGAGCCGGATGTGTGGAGCTGCATAGATTTCTATCTTCAAGCTGCTGTGTGTTGGTCATGGGAAGGATGTAAACTTGAGTTCCTTGGTATTGGCTACCATCATCAAGGTGACCTCTGCCCGGTGCCCTGTGCACACATGTTGATGCGTTGTGTAGCAGCCTACACTTGTGGCAGGGCATGCCCCTCAGTGCCAGGTCTTCCCCCGGCCAGGCTGCACCAGGGCTACAGCAAGCTCTCCCATAAACCCAAAGTTGGGATGAATCCCTGAGAACGAGATTAGGAAAGATGAAATGCAGGGGTGGTCTCTTGGGATCCTCCACGGGAGTGCTGATATGGAAATGGGTAACTGAGTCTATTTAGGGACATCCAGGTGCTAGAATAACTTTGGAGTTAGAAAAGGGGAACCCTAAGACTCAGGATCTTGTAGTATTAATCTAACACTTCTTGGGAAAGAGGGCAGGCCTGAGGTTGAAATAGAAATGATGTGTCTCAGGTCTCCTTGCTCAAAGGCACTGGACACCAATGCCTCAAGGTTTTTTTTGCCATTAAAAATCCAGGTCTACTGAGCGCACTGTAGCTTGTGATACAAGGAGAGAATTTGCTGATCAGAGGGTGCAGGCAAGTGGGCCCATGCGGGCATAGGTCAACCTAAATTATGTCACTGGGACCAGATAGAGACATTGGTGTCCTGAGAGTTTGATTGATGTGGGTTCAGCCCCAAAGACCTTGATCACTTCTGGGCCTAGTAACATGAATATCTCATTTGTTGAGCAATAACTAAATGCCAGTTCCTGTGCTAAAGGTTGCATCAGTCAGGGATCTTAGTGCAGGCAAAAGGAACTGTCCCTGGCTGAGCTGAGTAGAAAAATGAATTTAGGAAAAGGAAGTAAGGTAGCTGCTAACATTGCAGGAAGGGCTACAGAATGAGACTTGGGGCCAAAACGAGGCCACAGAACAGGTCTTAAGAGGACCCTACTGCCGCTGCTACAATTCGGACCTTGTGGCTGGCATCGTAGGGCTTGGACCCTGGATCCATCTTCTAACACTGTGGCTACTGCAGCCACAGGAACTTGATGTTGCCATTGCTGACCAGAGACAGATCTTCTTGGCCTTCATTTATTGCTCACTAGCTCCAGATTCAAAGTCTTGAACGGCTGCTTCTCTATGATAGAGTCTAGTCATATGCCTTAGCTATAGAGGAGGTGGGGAACCTATTTGACACTTTCCTCCTCAGTAATGAGAGGCCTGCTCCCCACCAAGATCCATAGGAAGAGGAATTCCAGAAACCTCAGGAAGGTGTTGAGGGAGCCGGGCAGCTCAGAGCGTGTCCACTACACATGCATTATCTCTTTCGTTCCTTCTGACTACCTAGTGAGGTAGGTGTTGTTATCCACACTTTATGAATAATGGTAATGAGGTACAGAGAGGTTAAAGAATTTGTCCAGGGTCACACAGCTATTAAGTGGTAGACCCTAGACTCAAACCTGGACTGTCAGACTCCAGAAGCCACACTCTCAGACACTGCTCCATACCTCTACTGGATGTTCATGCATGGAATTTCTAGGGTCACTAAGCTGTGGATTTCAGATGGTGGATTGTGTGACCTAAACGAGAGACTTCTCTTGGGGTGGGAGTGCCTGAGCAGCCAACTGGCCTCCAAGAATCGGCTCTGGATTGTCATTGACTATAGTAGCTCTGTCCAACATGCAACGTGGCCCTACAGGGAGGGCCTAGGGATGGGAGTGAGCAAAACCTAGCTCAAAGCTTCTGTCTGGGTTCTTGTTGAGTCATTCCCTTGACTTCTGCATCTATCTCCTTAAGTCAGTGGCTACAGAGGAAGGATATTTCCATTCCTTGGCTTAAGATGGGATGTATTCTTCCCTGTTTGTCCTGCTCCTTTCCAATGTGTACACTGTGAACTTTGGTTATGAAGGAAAGGACACTGTCCTGTGCATGTGCCAAGGTCACCCCACCTACACACCTTTGTTCCTGCTATTCCTTCCACCTGGAATGCCCCTGTTTCCTTCCCTTCTATTCACCACCAATCCATCCAGATGAGAGTCAGCTCTCTGTTTCCATGGAGCTTTCATTTCTACAAGCTGTAAAGCAGTACGCAACTTTGTAAAAGTGTTCTTACTTATAGGTGCTTTTGTTTCCAAAGGAGAATCTCCAAAGACTGTAAATGATCGACGAGATATGAGCACTTTTAATTTTAATAGATATTGGCAGATTCATTTCCAAAATTTCTGTGGCAGTTCACATTCCCACCAGTAAAGCAGGAGAGCTGTGCATTTTGGAAAAGCTCCCAAGGAGATTCTGAACTGCAGCCCAGGATAAGAACCACTGGCTCAGAGCAATCTCAGACTGGTCCCTATGTTCCTGAAAGGGGTGACAGGAGAGAAGCTGCAAGCGAATGAGTGGGTTCTCCAGGGAAGTGAAGAAATGGTTCTTATCAGCGCTCCTGTCTCCCTCAGGCTGTGGCACACCCTCCTTCCTCTGGGGAGCTTCCTCCAAGGCCCCTATATAAAATGTCACTGTGAGATGAAGCGAAGGAGGATCTGAGCTTTGGGAATTCCTCAGGACCTAGGAAGACTTCTTGGCAGGTAAGTGCTTTCTCTGTAGTAGTGGGGCTGGTTCCAGATAAATGTTCAATCTCTTGGGAGGTGCCTGGCCTGGGCTGAGAGGTTCTGGAGGGCTGGCTAGGACTGTGTGTAGCTTTCAGGTTGCATGGGCGACAGCAGGGACAGCAATTCTCATCCTCTGCCTTTCACATTCCTTCTGAGGTGTGTGAAAGCTCTCCTTGGCTGGGGAAGGCAGAGGTGCACATGTGGCTTTTTGAGCTTTGAGGAGGGAACCCATTTTCTAAGTGCTGTGTGTTCCTAGGAAGGCCAATAATCATTGTTTCTTGATGCTCTTTGTTTCATAGACTCTGAGGGGCCCATTAAGCACAAACAAATAAAAGTAACATTCCGTTCTTCACATTCAGGTCCACAGGAAAGCCAACCTTGGCTGCTCCTCATGGTCTGCTTCATTCTATTCAGAAAGCGGTCCTAGCATCCTGGAGCCTCACGGGCTGGGCTCAGCATTAGCTTTTCTGGCCCATCTTGACTTCTCTTCATGCCTATTCTTTCTCCACCTCACTCCCGTGGTCCCCTAATGGTGTGGCTGTGGTGTGCGTGTGTGTATGACAAACTGTGTTCTCCATTGCAGGACAGAGCCAAGATGAGACTCCCCCTACTTCTGGCTCTTCTATTTGGGGCAGTTTCAGCTCTTCATCTGAGTAAGTCTCCTTGGCCTTCAGTCTTTCTCTCTCTCCTTTGCTCCCTTCTACAGTACATAGGGTCAGAGTCAAAAAGCCACCTCCTTCTCTGGTCATCCCCTATCTCAGAATCTCTGCATTTAAAGGAGCAGGGACTCTCGAGCCTGGAGTTGAAGGGACTCCTCAGGGCATCTGCATATCTGCAGTCTTGGTTCTACTATGACACTCTCAATTTTGTCCTTTCTACATAATGCTAATGATGATCACAATAATGGCTTCCTTTTATTTTGAGCTCACTGAGTATACTGTGCTAAGCATTTTCTGTACACCATCTCCTTTAATCCTCATAGCATCCCCATGTGGAATGTTGTAGTGTATACCCATATCACAAATGAAACAAAGCTAGTAGATGATGGAATCGGTATCCAAACTTACAACTGCCTGATGCTAGGTCCTTCCTCTTCACACCATGACCTCTTGGTGGAGGCTGGGTTTCCTCATGGAGGCTTGGTTCCAGGTTCCTCTCTTCCCAAGACTCCACACTTTGCCTAAGGGCAAGGTGGGAACTGTCCGTGGTTCTGAGGAGGAACAGGGAAAGATGTGAGGGAGGAGAATTTGGCCTTTCTCTCTGTCAGGGACTGAAACGTCCAAGTTTGAGAGCCCCTTGGGAGATGAGACCCTGCCTCAGGATGGGGAGATGCCAGAACATGAGGCAATGGAGGCTCCTGTGGAGGGACTGATGCTGCCAGAGGAAGAAGAGGAAGGGATCTCTGGAAGTGAAGATGACCATGAGGAAGAGGGGCCTGTCAAGTCTGACTCAGCCCTAAGTGAAGTGGATAAGGACATTCAGTGCCCTAAGGAAGAGGAGACAGTAAAACTGGTGGGCATCCCTGGATGCAAGACATGCCGCTTTCTTGTAGTGAATAGGCCCATGATTTATAATCAAGCTGAGGTGAGTGGCCTGTTGCTGAGGCTGAGGGCTGGGTTGAGGAGGAGGGCAGGGATGGGATGTCTCCAGCCTCTGTGTCACTGGTTGTTTTCCTCACTGAGGACCGTGGGGGTGTCCGCAGGGGCAGAGGCCTGCAGAAGTGTCAGAGATGGGTAACAGGGGGTGAGACGTAATTGTGGAGACTTAGAGACCTAGGGCTAAGGTCATGTGAATTCCTGTGGGAGGGCCACTCCATTCTCCCTCTTTTATCTTGCCTTGCAGCATACTTGCCGGACATGCTACCGTGGCCACCTCATCTCAATCCACAACTTCCGCTTTAACTACCACATATGGCACTCAGTCAGATGCCTCAACCAGGGTCAAGTCTGGATTGGAGGCGCAGTCACAGGCTTGGTAAAATGAGTCCCAGCTTTAAGTGGGGCAGCCCTCCTGACCCAAGGCAGTGTTCAACTTGCTTTAGACTTGTCTGTGCTTCTGCTCTTGATCCTCTGAAGAATTTGGGATAGATGGACACCCGGGCATGACACCAAGGGGGCTGTCTAGGCATCAGGAAGAGCCAAGGATTTAGAATGAGGAGGTTTGGGTTCAAGTTCTGCTCAGCCTCTGACAGTCTCCAGGATGGGGTTCAAACTCTTGTCGCACCTCTTGTTAGGGCCAGAAGGATGAGTGTGTCATGGGGATGCATAGAATGTGATGGTGATGATCACTGTGGATCAACATTTCAGTTGACCTGGAAAGTGTCCATTATGGTCCAGCAGTCAAGGCAAATGCCTGGCGGGAAGCAGGAGGACCAGACAGGGACAGTTCCAGCTCTGCCTACCTGCCTTCTCTTTGCCTCATGCTCCAGCCTACCTTCTCCCATCCTCTCTCCTCTAGGGTCACTGCAGGCGGTTTTACTGGATGGACGGCAGTGCCTGGAATTTTTGGTACTGGGCTCCCGGCCAGCCTTCTCAATATAGTGGTCACTGTGTGTCCATGTATAGCAGAGGTGAGGTGGGAGTGGGGTTGAAAGATGAAAATGTCTGGGAGATGGGAGGGGTTCATGGAGGAGGTGCTGGGAAGTGCAGGACCCTCCAAGGGAGAGGGCTGCTGGTACTTTAGACTTCATCTCCACTGAAGTTTGGGGTGGGGAGGGGGAAAGATACTCCTGGTGCTGAGTCAGAGGAAACAAGAGGCTGAAGGCCCCTCTCTGTTCTGCCTTCACAGGTGGTGGCTGGACTCTAACTCACTGCAACATGTGTCTCTCCTTTGTCTGTTCCTACTGAGCTGGCCCCAGCTAGAAGTTCAGAGCCACCCCTCCTGTGCCACTGCCTCCCCTCCCCTGCCTGCTACCCCTTCCTCCACCCACCAGCAATAAAATTGCTTTCCTGAAACTGATTTCTTTTTCCTCTGATCATTCACTCACTCTGCTTAGCCCCACTCATGAACTTTCTGCCCTACAATGACTCCCCACTCCACTGTCTGTCAGGAAAGTTAGTACTCTCAAGGAGGATGGAACATGGGATGAGATTTGTGGGGCCTTCCTGGAGACAGAGGAGTGGGCTCAGCTAGCTCTTCCTAGCACGCCCAATTACCTGACACCTGTGTACAGGTGCTGTCAGGACCCCACCGATCTCTCTCGAACCCTTCAAGGTCGACCCTCAATATCCTGGCCTTTTTTCTCTCTTACAGACTGCGGTTGCCTTAATGTGCCAGGAAATTAATATGTTCTGGGAACAGTTGACACCTCTCAGGAGTGGGCGTATGAGCACCCCAGTCCTTGCCCCTCAGGTGGAATATTCTAAAGCATGTACTAGGCACTGTTTCCCAGGGGGATTAACTTCCAGTTCCCACTGAGGTAGCTGGCTTTACAACACACATTTTCTTGTGAATTCTTCTGTTCCCTACCAGTGCCCTTGCACTTCCCAAATAAATTTGCACACAAATCCTTGTCTCAGGGTCTGCTCCTGGGGAAACCCAATATCAGACAACTTGCTATATGTTCAACGCTGTATAAGGCCTGGGAATGCTATAGGATACAGCCCCCTGCCTTTCGGGAACATACAGTTGTTTATAATATAAGCACAACAATATGTACTAACTGTTACCACTTATTGCACACACACAAAGTACCCCATGCTGTGGCAGCCACCTTAAATAGATGACCTTGTTTGATCAATGATTATTATCCCATTTTACAGTTCCAGGCCCAAGGAGTTATGACCTGTCAAAAGATTTGCCCAAGGCTGTACATCTAAATGTGACCAATGCTGTGATTTGACTGACTGCCCCAGAGCATGTTCCTTTACCCCTTATGATTCCATGGAAGGAAGCATTGGCTGCTCTCCCTTGCAGGACATCATCATATGGGCATGGAACACAGTAGGCAGGCAGGATGGACTCCCTTACCCTTGGGTACATCTTGGGGCATAGGACACCAACCTAGCTGGAGATGAGGGCGTCCCAATCAGAAGTGAGGAAGGAAGGCATTCTGAACCCTCTCTTCACTGTGGAGATGAGCCGAAAGTAAGGAGTCATTGCCCTGAAGTTCCTTTCCTCCAGATCCCCTCAAATTCAGAAAATTACATATGGGACCAGGGTCATAGGGAGAGGTAAATCAAGACCTTTAATTTTCTGAGTATGGCCCAGATAAGAGAAGCTACTTGCTCAAGGTTGCACAGTAAGTTGAGAAAGAGATCGAAATCAAATTTAGGTCCATTGTCATAGTGTAACTGTTCCGTGACAGTCTGTTGATTTCAAAGACGGTGGAATTCTGATACATTAATATGGATTCAGCCCTGTGCTGGGTGCTGTGCAGGATGCAGCTGAAGTAGAACTTTCACTCCTTGACATCTTGGACTTAATATTCTGGTGTGGGAAGGCATTGCTTCCCTGTATTCCTGTATTAACAATAAAGAATAACAAAATCCCCAATTTATTAAGCATTTACTAGGTGGCAGGGTCTGTGCTAAGCGGTAGGTGGAGTTCCCCATAAATCTCTTCTGTTGGGGGTGTGTGTTGTGGCAGAAGTGTGACTTCCAGTTCATGGAGAACCCCATGAGGGGTTAATGTCAACAAGGGGGCATGAAGGAGATGTCTGGGCTCCTGGTAGTGTTCTGTATCTTGATGTGGGCACAATTACGTGGGTGAATTCAGTCTGTAAAAATTCCCTGAGCAGTCCACCCTACTTGACAAAATGTATGTTATAGATCCACAAAAAAATGAAAATAATGAAATAAGGGGACTGGCTGTACATTCCAAAATATGGGTTTCTATGTGCATTTTTCCTTCCCAACAAGATATTGACTAAGCTCTGTGACACTCAGATTGTGACTTTACAACTGAACCCCTGGAGTTCCTTACATCGTGTAAAGTGCAGAGCTCAATCAACACTCAAGGCTTATTTGTGGATTAGGGTCACAGTTCTAGTCCTGGTTTCCTGACAAGGGCCACACCCAAGCCCGTGGGCCAGGCCCTGTTCCGAGAGATTCACTGAAGCTCATCTCATTAGAGGTAGGTTCTGTCATTAGCCTCAGTTTATGGATGAGAAACCTCAGACACAGAGGGCTGACTCTGGGACTTGTGATTTCATTACACATCACACAATACTGCCTCTCAAGATGGCAAGACCCACCCTCTGCATAATGTGGGGCTGGACCGAATCTCAAGAGGCAGAGTTTGAAACCCTTATGAACATAAAGGCAAACAGTAAGCCAGAGACCTCGAATTTCAAGGATGTTGAAAACGTTGTACCATTGGCTAGACCGTCGGGAGGTAACACATTTGGGTGTGTCAAAGAAAGCAAGGATATGGGAGTGCGACAACAAGGGTCTGACAAGCCACCTCTTTATGAGTTGTGTGAACGTGGGCAAGTCGCTTAACCTCTCTGAGCCTTTGTAGTAGATATGTCGACTAGAGATGGCAATGCCCAATTTGTAAGATGTTTTTCAAGATGAGTTAAGTAGGATAATGGATGTAAAAGCCTTAATGAAGCCTAACATGTGGTCCGTGGTGGACCTTCAAAAACGTTATTTCCAGTTTTAAATTGACAGGCATCACTCTGGTCATTGAGGAAGCCATTGGAATATCTTTGCCCAGGGTGTGTGTGCAAAGAAAACTGGATCAATACAGAGGAGGGGCAGGCTGTAGAGAAGGGAGGTCAGTGAGAGGAGGTAGAGGGAAGGCAGTCGTGGGTGGATGAGGAGTCTGGCTCCAGGTTTAGGCCTGTCTCTGACTTTGCTGTGTGATGTTGGGCACCTTGTTTAAGCTCTCTGAGATGCCTTTTCATCATCTGTAAAACAGGGCCATTGCAATGAAACAATGCCTATCATGGTGCTGGTTCATGAGAGTAGTCGACCTTATTGGTCAACCCAACCACTGAGTGAAACGGTGCCCCTGGCTTGGGCTCCAGGATGGGGGAGAACAATGAGGAGGAGGCCTAGTCCTCCACCCCCCACCCCCACTAAGAGGTCTCAAGCTTGAAATCCAGAGACCAGGTTTTTGGGGCCCTGGAATTGTCCAATCCCCCCCAGTTTGGTAGACAAGATGAGGGTCTGGTCTGTCAGGCCAGGGAGATAATGGCCAAAACAATTACTCTGCAATCGGCCCAGAAGTGACCGCTCAGATACTTCTCCATTTGTAGGTCCCCTGGGAGAGCTGAGAAGAGGAAGGAATCCAGGGCTTTTCACCCTCTGGGCTACCTGTTCCTGGCGCCTTGGGCTACTTGTACCTGTCCTGGAGGGCTGGGCTGGAATCTGAGGAAAGCCAGCATGTCACAGAGTTGGGTCACCCACCTGAACATGTCCACTAGCTCCTGGCAGTGATATCCAGCAAAGCCAGGGTTCAGCACCTGCTACTCTCTTTTATGACTGCAGTGAATTTGGCTAGAGCTTGGTTGATGGAAGTTTTGATATTTTTGCGTTTATTTGGATTTTCAAGAAAGCTTGCATTAAAATATTATTTATTTGACTACTGAATTCTCTAGTGCTCCCTTAAATTTTGCACCTGAGATGAGTGCTTCACTCACTTCCCCTAGTCCTGACCCTTTGGTGACAGAGGGCTGGTGGGAGATGGAGAGCGGGATGGGGTGGGGAGGCTGGTCCACCAAAGTCTGAATGACACTGCATGAAGCTTTGCATTCCAGCTGTTGCCACCGTGCCAAAAGATATGACCTGAGGTTGGACAAAATGGCATATTCTAGGTCAGTTATCCTCAACTGGGGCAATTTTGGTCTCCAGAGGGCATTTGGAAATGCATGGAGACATTTTTGATTGTCCTAAATGGGGGAGGTGTTATTGGCCTCCAATAGGTAGGGACCAGGGGTGCTGCTAAACTTCCTACAATGCACAGGACAGCCCCCCTACAACTAAGAATTGACTCCAAATAGTGATAGTGCAAAGGTTGAGAACCTTGAACTAGATCCACAGCACAGAAGAAAGAGCACAGGTTTTTCACACATTAAAGTTGAGAAAGGGAGGGAGAGGGAGAAGGAGAGTGAAGAAAGGAGGGAGGGAGTGAGCAGAGACAGAGAGACAGAGGTTTTAGAGCCAAAAAGACTTAGAAATCCCAGTTCTCCCAGTTGCTTTGTAAACTTGGCAAGTCACCTTCCCTCTCTGAATCTCAACTTGCATGTCTGTGAAGTAGGGATAATCATACATTCTCCTGGGAATGAGGTGAAGGTGAGGATTCAGGGATGTGATGCATATAAAGTACCTGGTCTGGATAAGAGGTCATGGGGGCCGAGGCTCGTTTTGCCTCCTACCTCCTTCACTCATGGTCTCCCTGCTCCTTGGATTCTCCACTTCATTTGCTGGGATTTTGACCAGAGGAAGGCTTCTCCTGGGGATAAGGAGTATTGTTCGGACTGTGGTTCTTTAGGGGCACTAATAATAAATTTGCCTGGACAGTAGACATCTGGGGTATTGTTGGGCACACCAGGGTGCAGGGTCACCCATATATGGCAGCAGACCCCAGGAGGCAGGTCCCTGCAGCCCCAGCAGCGAGCAGGGCTCAGGGGGAGAGGACTGAACAAACTTCTCATAAGCTCCACTGCCCCCCACTCAGCCTGGGGCAATCCTCCTGGCTTCCTCTCGCTTCCCCAAAAACCCACCCTAAGGGCTGTCTCTGGGGCTCAGCAGCTACAGACACTGAGAATGGATGCCTCAGACTCTCAGGAGGTGAGTGTCCCCCCGGCTGCCAAGGGAGGAGAGATCCAGGGTCTGGGAGGAAGCAGGACCCTATCTGGCAAATACCTTAGAGGTCTGTCCTTAGGACCATAATGGCCACC